GCCTGGGAAGCACCGTTCCGCCGGGCCTGCCGCCGCTGCTCCTTAGGCTTGCGCCGACCCTCCCGAAAGGGCGCTGTAGGCTTGGGAAAGCGGTGCAGCCACACCAGCAGAGCTGCTCTCGCCAGAAAAGCGGCCTCTGTCTCCCGAATCGCATATTTACGACTCGATCTGCGCCAGGAGCTTCCGCTAGTACCGTTACTTGAGTTGGGAGAGTTGGCACCTCTTTGTGACCGTGATTAAGGTTAAATTTACGGTGGGAGAGCTGTAGTAACTGCCCATGATAGTGACCTGTATCGGTAAGATACGGCTTAGATGACAGGATAAAAAAATACTTCAGGGCTTCATGGTTCAGAACAATTAAATAACTACACTGGCAACAATGGAGGGGAAAAAAAAATCAGTAGGGACTGAGACTAGCAAGAATTAAAAACCGAAGGTGTTTGGAGTATTTTGCTCAAAAGGGACTTAGAACAAACTGCCCTCCAGTCTGTGATCCAGAAGGGGACCAGTTAGGAAGCTATTTAGACTGTTAACAACTAAAATGTGTTACACGTATATAAAAACAAACCACGTTCCTTCTTTCCACCACTCTTCTTTCAAACAGAAGCTAAGATTTCCCATTGCGTTGCCTGCTCTTACAGTGAGAACAATTAGATTTGCTAATCCCTGCTCTCTTATAAACAAACTATAACTGAAAGAAAACAGTAGCTGAATACAGTGGCATAAACCATTCATAAATAATCCCCATAGCACTGTGGAAGTTGAACTGAAACTTCACAAAAAAAAGGAAATTACCTTCTTAAGCCTGCAAAATAAGACTATCTCATTTTATACGCTTCATATTTTTTCTGTTACGTTCACAAAATCATCTCATGCTTGCTTTCACTTAAATTACTGAAATGATGGCAGCTTGTTTGCTTCATCCATAGGAAACTTTTCATTAGCAGCGTTAAAATAGAGCAGCTTTTGGGGCGGGGGGATCCAGCTTCTCAGCTTCACAGCTGCACAGGAAAGCTTGTAAAGACAACTCAAAACCAGGGAGAGGAAAAAAAAAATTACGGAGCAGATACACGCAGCATGTATCTATACCTGTTTATGCACACAGACTGCTTGAAGAGGCTTGAGCGATGATTTTGCGTACTCAAGTTAGTAATCTCACAGCACTAGCAGGAGCATCGGCAAACCCAACTTAAGTGAGGCAGAAGGCAGAACGCCAGGTGAATTTCAGTGCTACACGCCCCGCCTCCTTGTTTTGCAATCTGGCTTCATATACATAAACTTACATATAATTTATATGCACACCCATATTTATAAAACACTCCAGATCTGAGCTTTTCCCTGCCTCAGAAGCCTCAAATTTCGTGCTTAAAAAACCCCTGAAGTGTCGCGGGGGAAGGTGTTCAGTTGCAGCAGGAAGCGGCGCTCCCGCCAAGGAGCACGGGGGGCCGGGCCGGGGCCAGCTCCCAGGCACCCTCGGCAGGGTGGGGAACCGAGCGGTCGGCGGCCACCGAGTCGGTGAGCGGGGATGCGATCCCCTCTCCTGCCCCCGTGGAGCCTAGCTGCTGCAGCCGGGGGAGCCGGGCGTCCCTCCCTGCCGGGTCCAGCTCGCTGCCTGCGCCGCCCGTCCCGCTGCTTCAGCTGGGAGCAGGCAGGCATCGAGGGGGACGGCAGCGCCGGGGAGCCTGGAGGGAACAAAGGAGGGCGCTTCCTCCAGCCCTTTGTCCTCCCTGCACTGCGCTGCTCCCGTCTCTCTCCAGCCCCTTTCGCGGGTGGAGACAAATGCTTGTGTAGCCCCAAGCTGAGACGGGGGTGGCTTTGCTGTCGTTACCAGTAGCGCAGCTGGTAACGGGGAGAAGAGCGGAACAGCACTTGATGCTCGCCCTACCGTAGGGGATGAGGATAGAGCCGGGATCCGGGTGGACAACGCTTATCCACCGGCAGTGGAGGGGCTTGGACACAAGGGATGCGCCAGTACACAAAGCAAAGGCGGTAAAACTTCTGCCCTCGAGGGGCAGGCATCCCGAAGGTTTTGTAAGACGGCAGAGCGATAAATGGAATGTTTAATGCAGTGGGAAAGTGTTAAGTTAGCAGAACAGTGATTTTTGAGGCTTCGCCGTGTGCCTTTAAAAACGAGTAGGTGGGAAATTACAGAACCGTAGCAATATGCAAACCACTTGTGTGAATGTTAAGCAAATTGTGCTTAAGACACATGGAAGATCTTTACCTGGAGGCAAACAGTTCTGATGTGAAGGGCAAAGCAAAAGGATTCATTGCTTCTGCTAATTGCTCTGGCTATTTTCTAGGTTCTGGGTGTAGGAAATATGAATGACTGGCAGAGGAAAAGCCCTCTAGACTGGGAAACATATGTGAACAAAATGGTGAAAGTTGCTGCAATTGAGAAACATGAATATGAAGGATGGGTCTTAACAGTTGATCCAGTTTCTGCCAGGTAAGTACCAAAGCTTTTGTTTCTGTAAAGCTAAGAGAAAACAAGTTTTTCAGGAAGAGAAAAGATCCCAAGACTGAAGCAAACTTACTTGGAGCAAAAACTGCACGTTGGGGCTGTGTCCTGTTTTTTCAATTAGCAAGGCCTAAGAGAAGGCAATATGGTAGTTGGTGAGGCCAGTTCACCTAAATCCACTTTAATTTCATTCAAACGACTGATAAGTTTGGGGAGTGGATAATATCTGGATTCATGCTGACTTTATTGTGGACCTGAGGTTAGTACTTTTAAATGGTATCCACGTGTTTAGGACTACTTTTGATAGTATACCAAGCCCTGCTTCACAAAGAGAGCAGGAAT